ACGTAGAAATGACTTCCAATAACACCTAGCAGACCCGACAAATGCATGTCAGCCTGACAAATATGACAAGAACCACTTAAATTGTGAAAATCAAACAATTATTGAAGAGGCTCGAGCTAATCAGGCTATGAGTCGAATCTAGTTTGACCATCAAAGTCCCATAAGTGGAGTTCAATTTGCCTAGAAGTAGAATGTACATTCCCTACAAAGTGTCTAGATGGTGAATAATTGGAGGGGAACGTAAATGCGTACTATCGTACTAACCGAGGGACATATTATAGGTGTAAATGTTTGTAGTATGATATGACATTTTTTGTTTTTGTTTTTATATCTCAGATGTCACTGGCCAAACACATGAATAGAAAGTATAGCTTTCAAAAAGCAAAATTGATATACCTTATGAGAGTTAAACAAGTTGTTGTTTGTGCTGCACTTCCCAAATTCCGAATATAATTGAAGGAGATTAAACAATTCCCAAAACATTGGAAATTATGGTATTTTCTGCCCAAATGTAATTCTCTGAGATCATATAACCAAAGAAGTTTTATCATTAAACCTCTGCAAACATGGAGCCAGAAATTCTATTCGTTTCTCCTTGCACAAAACGGTCACATTCAGAACTAGTTGGGTGGCGTGAGCCGGACACTAAAGAATGGTGCTTGAAGGAACTGGTGAGCATGGTCGAAGAAAAGAGACCTCAAGGCACTGATGGCACGCACAGTAGCAAGCCGATGACTCAACAAAGCATGTAGAGCAACCAATGTAGTCCCAAATTGATTTCTCCTGTCTGATTGACTTCTCCAATGTGCTAAGGGGAGTATTCTGGTATTGAGAAAATTGGAATATGGCTACCGCCGGAATTGGAGTATTTACCGGAACTCTGAAAACTACCGCTGGCAACCATGGGTAATGAAATAATCAATGCAATTCATATCCTATGAATTTTTGAATTTTAAATTAATTTTAAGGCTTACTTGTTGATATTAACGCGAATTATGTAAATGTGCAGGTATTTCACGGGATTCCATGCACGTGGCGTGCCACTGGAGGAAAGAAAAAGGCATGGAGGAAGAATAAAATTAATGAATATGCTCTTATAACGTTATTTGTCATTCAGAGTTTGTTATTTTGAAAAACTATTTTGATCTTCGTTTTGCTGATTTTTATTTGTTGTACATTCGTAGATGGGATTCTGATGATTTCCTATAATAGTATGTTATTGTTTCAATTGAAAATCGCCTGAACCTTGTTGGAATAAATCGATTCTATAATGCTTTCTTTGCCCGTTACTAATTCTATCTATTTTTATTCTGAGTCTTGATCCGCTGTTCATTTAGAAATCAAGTCCATCCATTTGAAAAACATTCTATCTGAACCAAGCAAATATAAGAAATTTAAACATGGGTAAGCAGAATGGTTTGTTATTGTCTTATTGCCGCGTCCATTGAGCTGCATGAGAATTTTTTTGATAAACATATCCTCTCTTTTCCAAGGTATGAGCTTGGTAGACAGCCAGCCAACACAAAGTTGTCAAGTAACAAGACAGTTGTTGGGAAGTAAACTTAATTTTGGGATAAGTAATATGGGCTTAAGAATTTT